ATCATCATCATCATCATCATCATCATCATCATCATCATCATCATCATCATCATCATCATCATCATCATCATCATCATCATTATTATTATAATTATTATGGTGTTGTTATCTGACTTTACTCTGGGTCTGCTTATCATGTGACATTTGAGCAAGCAAATGCCAACTGAGGTACTTATCAACAACTTTTTAAGTGGTTGAACTGGTTTTTCTTGTTACTGTGGAATAATATTTCATCCAAATTATTACTTTTCACTGATCAAGCGATTGATATAAAGCACTCGGAGATTATACTCGTATGGGATACAGCGCCATATAAATGCAATCCATTATTATTATTATTATTATTATTATTATTACTATTATTATCATTATCATCATGGTGTTTTTATCTGACTCTAGTCTGGGTCTGTTTATCACGTGGCATTTGAGCAAGCAAGTACCAACTGAGGTACCTATAAGCAAATAAGTGAACAGCACATTGAGATGAGTTCAATGATAGTTTTTAAATCACATAAATAAAATGCTATTTTCTTTTTTTAAAATAAGAGACTGGGTGTATTGAATTAATACAGTGTTTTGAACATTGTTTCGTCACAGTTCCACACATTTTATTGTTTCCTAATTAACCAGTCTTTTGAAAAATATAACATTACTAACGGCTGATACGAAACCGTTCCAACAGAACCCGTCTGCGAGAAGAAATATATCTACCAAGACAAGGACGGCTCTGTGGACGGAGATATTGTCAGCTTCAAACTAATTAAGTCCCTGAAAAGACCACAACCGCAAGGCTACGGCAGCTATGGATACGACTACTGCCGCAGGGGATACAACTACAAGTTTTCTGGAAGTTCCTTCTCAGTCAGGGACTGCCCTGGTGTTTACGAGATCTGCTACAACGCAGTTATTACAGAGGCCCCGGCTACCACGACCCCCAATCCAGGTGACACTGAAACATTTCCTGTCAGACCCCCCTCCTCCGTTCTCCTGTCTCCTTCTCCTGCGCCTCCTACCCCTCTTCCTCCTCCTCGACTGCCTCCTCCACAGTGTTTCTATCTCGCGTCCCCCTGCTTCTCTTCTTCCTCTTCCTCCTTCTTTTCCTCCCCTCCTCCTCCCCCACTTCCTTTTTGCTCTTGTGTCTTTGCGTCCTCCTTCTGTCTTCCGCCTCTTCCTTCTCCTCGTGGTTTTCCCCTACTTCCTCTACACCATGGCATTTTTTCCTCTCCAATCTCCTCTTCTTCATACCCCCTGCTCTTCCTCTTCCTCTTCCTCCTCCTCTGACAAGCTTCTCAGTCTTCTTTTGTTTCTCTTCCCACTTCTCCCAATCTTCTCCTCGTATGACTGTTCCTCGTTTTTCACCCTTATGTACTTCCAACATTTATTTTCCTTTCCCCTGTCTCAGTTAACTATCTGAACATAATGGGGTTTTTTAATTTTTACCGAGCTGCTTTCCTGTATCTACTTCTTCCCATACTCATCATGTCCTACACCTGTTACTTCGCCTCCGCGTTGTTCCAACGGTCTCTCTTCACATCTGATCTCGTCTCATGACATCATAGTTTAATTACCTATCTAGTCTTAGCTCAGAATCTTTTAAATACCTAAATCTCCACAGTTAAAAAAAAAATCTAATTAGCTTTCATTTTGTATCTCATCTGAAATAACTTCTTTGAATCTCACCTCTTGTCACCACACTTCATTTCAAACCTTTCATTTCTCATTTCTCAAATAATCTCACCTCTCCTTACATAATCTTACAGCATGTCACTCCCTTCTCACCTTTTTTCGACTACAGCTCACATCCCCCCCC